CCTGGCAGAAAACAGACTCTATGTCTGTGTCCATAGACAAACAGTGAGAGCACCGACACTACCAGTTCGCCCCAGCTCGAGCCGGCATGGGCTACTGGTCCTCACCACCGCCGACAGGCAGGTCTTATGTCTCGGCTGCTGAGCTGGCAGCTTCCAGCAATATAGCAATATAGCCGCAAGATGGTTCCTGCCGACAGGCTGGTTTTGTTTCTCGGCTGCTGCGGCAAATGACGATTTTTGCGTCACTGGAAGCTCCTTTTCAGACTTAAAAATACAAAGATTTCCCATCTCAGGGAAAATGAGGGTGGGATGCACGTCCATTCAAAAATACTACCAGGTTTCTAATGATACAAAGCTTAATGCAAATGGAGGAAATATCCCTTTAAGGGCTCCAAAAGGAAAACTCTGAAAGTCCTTCAATCCTGCAGAGTAACACATTTGCAGCTTCAAACTCTCCGAGACCTTAAAGCAGGATGTGATCATCCCCTCTCTGCTTCTCTTTAGGGTATCGCCGGTACAGACGTGGCCAAGGAGGCGTCCGACATCATCCTGACCGATGACAACTTCACCAGCATCGTCAAAGCCGTCATGTGGGGAAGAAACGTCTACGACAGCATCTCCAAGTTCCTGCAGTTCCAGCTGACCGTCAACGTGGTGGCCGTGATCGTGGCGTTCACCGGCGCCTGCATCACACAGGTAAGATACATCCTGCTGTCGACAGGAATTCTTTGTTTATAATGTTAGAGGTCGTTTTGAACTCGTGAATCTGCTGTTAATGAACCTGCATGTTGGAGGCATCAAGTGTTTTAATTCTTAAAATGTCCACGTAGTCGTCGTTACAGCTGAAAGCTTTGTTGTTTCTATGGAAGTTAAGAGCTGTCAATCATCAAACAATTATTTAAAGGAAGAATGTGAGACATTTTAAACATGAATAAACCAGAAATACAGTCCTGTGTAAATGTGTCTCTGAGTCATGACTGTCTACAATGAGTGAGAAGCTCGAGTCCCGCTGGCTGTGTTGTTGTCAGAGTCGTGTTTACATGGACGGGACTGCCGGCTCCTCCCCTTGTGTATAAAAGCTGTTTTAGTCAAGGACTAAAGAGAAGAAGAAGAACATACTCACTGATTATTTTTTGATGTCATGTAAGTGTCTTTATATCACGGTCATTCTGTGTCATTTTATGTGCAATGTGAAGCTACGAGTTTAGTGTGCTAACATTAGCATGCTAACACAACAATGCAGGACACAGGCAGTCATCTGGAGCAAAGGACGATTTTGTTGCGTTTCCTGCTGGAGCTCAAGGGCGACATCTACTGGATCAAGAAGTCGCACATTCTTCCTTTAATCACATTCAATTTCCATCGGGCATTTTTGTGCACATATTGCGTCATTTCACACTGAAAAAGTTGCATGAAGTTTGTGTCATTATAAAAAACAGCCTCTTGGAAAGTATTAGTCTAAGTCCACTCAAAACAGACGGACATGACAGACATGATTAAATCCCAAATGTTTTGAGCTGCAACTACCTCATGTGTCGATTGTTTCCCTGGTTGATTGAAAAGGAAAGGTGCGCAGATAGCCTCGCGGTTATGTCGCCGCCCCCCTATGTGCAGAGGCTGAGGTCCTACAGTATGTGTTGTCATTTTCAGACGATGAATTTTTAGAAGAGCTGAGTCTGACTTCCTGCATAGGATGTAAGAAAAGACAATCCAATGATTGTTTGCTTTCTGGTGGATTTGACGTTTGTACAGGACTTGTTTAAACCAGAGGGGGAACTTTCCTGTCTGCTGAGTTTCTAAACCAGCAGTATTTCTACCGTCGTCGTCGTGGATTCAGATGATCAAACATCGACTGACTTGTTTTGGAAAAGTTGTTTTACATTCTAAGGTTAACTGTGTGTGTGATACATCTGCTGCGCTTAGATGGCATCCGTACATTTCCCTTTTTGATCAAATCTGCACAGAAAACTGGAAAGAAACAAGTCATTCTTTTTTATTTTTGATGTGACGGTCTGAGCGCTGCGAGGAAGCGAGGCGGTGTGTCACACTTTTTTTTTGTTTCCTAATGTGTCTCTAATCAGGAAACTGAACTCCTGACACAATATAAAAAGAGAGTTACTTGCGGCTGTGTATTAATTGAAAGGCTCACAGCTGGCAGGGCAGATAACTAACTCGTCTGCAGAGCGCCGAGCTCAAAGTAGGCTAAGATACAGCCTGAAACCATGGCAACACGTCACCATCATCATCCTGAAATATAACTGGGACTCAGCAGGTCTGCGCTCTGTTTATACGACTGATCATCGGCGCTTGTTTCCTGACATGTTGGCACAGATCATTAGAGCCTGTAAACTGGTCTTTATTGTCTGCAGAGGGAGGCGTAGGCTTCGTCCTGTGATGTGTGAATTCTGCATTTATATACATTTTAAATCCGTCCGGCAGCCAACACACTGCACTTTGATATTTCTGATCCTCGGTGTTGGCGGAAAACGAGTGAAACACAAAGTAAATCTGTGTGTTGTAAAAAAACGTAAAGCTTCTTCTTAGGGAGTCACTCTGACCCACTTAACTCTCTGTGACCTGCTGCAAGACGTTTAGGACTTCAGTTCATTCTCACTTTTTAAATCTATTTTTATGGAACCAAGATGACGACAGCCATGGAAACAGGGATTAGGTTTTTTTTTCCTTTTGTTGGGTTGTACAACAGAGAGTATATAAGAAGTGGATTCAACCTCCAAAGACAATGCAGAGGAGCCTTTAACCTGCCTTCTAGCAAACGTCCTGCAGGGGGCGAAGAAAGAAATCTGATTGTGTTTCAGTCTATGAGAAAAGGAGCATCCCTTCTTACATCAGAAAAACATTTTTTTAATGACTTTATGATTTTAGTGTCTAGTTTCAATTCTTTTTTCTAACAGGGGTTGGCTGATGGGGGGGGGGGGTTATTACACACCTTATGACAATCTTCTTATGACAGTCAGATGTGTCTTTGGGAAAGAAACTTAAGATACAAGGTGGTCGTAGCGTGCGTGCTGTTATGTGTTGACAGACAGGTGCAGCATGTTTCTAACATCCTGTCCCCTGCAGAGATAGTTTTGGTGGCAATCAGAGCTGAAAGAGTGGAGAGTGTCTCCACTATCCTGAATGTCTGTGAGCCTTTTTTTCCAGCAGCCTCAGTAAAAAAAAACTAGTCATCTGTTTTCTCCTCACTAGTTTAGTTTAACTGAAAATATGACCTGCTGCCCCCCTATTCAATATAACCACACAATACATTATATAAAATAATACCCCAAAAACATTGAAATATATCCCATTACACACCTCATCCTTGAGATGAATTCAAACACATACTTTGACATTTCATTCATTAATGGCTCCTGCAGCTTTTATACAACGTGTTTATGACCCCCCCTTATAAAGCAAAACAGAAGAAAACAATAACAGATTTTTTCCTCCAATAATTCAACTAGTTCCACAACTTGTCATCCACAATACATGTCCTTTAAAGAGGACATATTATCCCCCTTTTCCCTGTGGTCTAAATGAAACGTCTGTGCTGTGCTTTGGTCAAAATATAACGTGAATAAAGCGCCAGAGGAGGTTTGTGACCCTGTATAAACCAGCTCTCTCAGAACGCTCCGTTTTGGTGTGTGTGTCTCTTTAAATGCAATGAGCCCCCCCCTGAGTTTTCCCAGTAGACATCACTCCTCTGTAGAGAGAATAAAAATGGCGGACCTACTCAAAAGTTTTGTTCTAGAATGTGGGTGGTCATCACAAGGAGAGCAAATTTGAAACGGAGCATTTTTCTGTGTTGTAAGACTTATGCAGACCACAAACAAAGGACTGGATGGATTAATTTTACATTATTTGTGGGTCTGTAGACACTCAGGTTACCCAAATATATGTTCAAAAACACTTCACAAGTGGATTTTTCACAATATGTCCCCTTTAAGGTTTATATACTGAGTAACAGTGATGCTCCAGGACCAACCCAGCACCTCAGACATGCAGTAACATTGTGTTTCACAAGTGCAGTCAGCTTTGGCAGGTCTTTGAAACTCTGTTTTGGCCTGGCCCAGGTCCAAATGTTACACCAGCTGCTGCAGACAGAAGCCCTCATGAGGGGACGCTCAGAGTGTGTTTGACCTGGACTGAGGGGAAGAGGTCGAATTTGATTTAATAAAAGGAGAAGAAGCTGCACAACCTGTATCCTAAAGCGGTGTCACATCAAACATGTAATGGCCAGAAGGCAAACTGGAGAAATAACAGCAGGAAAATAAAGTTGTGTTATTGGTTTGTTGTAAAAGAGAACCGTCTGAATGTGAATTTAACCCCTCGTCGTCCTCTTCCTCCTGCAGGACTCTCCTCTGAAGGCCGTCCAGATGCTCTGGGTCAACCTCATCATGGACACTCTGGCGTCTCTCGCTCTGGCCACCGAGCCGCCCACCGAGTCTCTGCTGCTGCGTAGACCGTACGGCCGCAACAAGCCGCTCATCTCCAGGACCATGATGAAGAACATCCTGGGCCACGCCGTGTACCAGCTCGTCATCATCTTCACGCTGCTCTTCGCTGGTGAGTCCAAAAACTGAAAACATTCAACTCCAAATGAAGAAACAATGATCATCAGCGACATTGTTGTGCGAGAAATTCAGATTCTTTTTTTGTTCTTCAGGTGAGAGCATTTTCGACATCGATAACGGCCGCAACGCTCCCCTGCACTCACCGCCGTCTGAGCACTACACCATCGTCTTCAATGTGTTCGTCATGATGCAACTCTTCAACGAAATCAACGCCAGGAAAATCCACGGAGAGAGGAATGTGTTCGAGGGCATCTACAGGAACCCCATCTTCTGCAGCGTCGTACTGGGAACCTTCGCCCTGCAGGTAACGCCTCCATCAGCATCGTCTTAAATCATGAAAGCTCATTCACCTTCAGAGCTACAGTGTGAAATGTTACCGTATCGCTCTGATCAACATCACAGCCCTTCAGTTTACCCCTCACCCTAAAGCCCCTCCCCCTGACAAACACAACATATACGCACCAGCTGACTGCAGCTGCCACGATAAGTCCTCCAGGTGGCGTTTTAAGAGAGAAGCACGCTGTTTGCTTTCTTCACTCTGCATCAAATGACCTTTTTCTGTGATACTGGTGTGAGCAGCTAGCTGGCATCAACATGTTGAGTAGTGATCTGATTACAAACGCCTTTGAGTTGGAACAGTCACACCTCACTCTCACTACAAAACGGCCGCCATTACAGACATGACATGTTTATCGTTGTCGTGGAAACACCAGTTGTTAGGTCAGACACTGCTACATAAGGAAGCAGGGACTGCTACTGAAAGCTGATGTGCTGTTGCTCTATAAAAACATCTTTCTCTTCCCCAGGTCGGTTTCACCCGGTTGTTTTGACTACGGTCAACTCAGTGTTCATTTCGGTGGGATTTACATATTGTGCGTTTAAAAAGTAAATTGCTTCCTCATCTTCAATATGAAGTAAGGACAGAATTCCATTTACATCGAGAGAGATAGATATAAAACCACTAAAGACCTGCCAGTACAGAGCAGACGGTGAGCCATGATGTCAGAGAATTAACGATTATAAAGTCTTTAACTACCAGTAAAAGATAGATAAATATAACATGAATCACGCACCAGAGGAGGTTTGTGACCCTGTAGAAACCAGCTCTCTCAGAACGCTCTGTTTTGGTGTGTGTGTCTCTTTAAATGCAATGAGCCCCCCACTGAGTTTTCCCCATAGACATCACTCCTCTGTAGCGAGAATAAAAATGGCGGACCTGCACAAAAGTTTTGTTCTAGGCTGGAGGTGGAGTCCATGGGTGGAGATACCAGGGGAGGGGAGGGTATTGTTTTACCAGAACCCCATTGTGACATCACAAGGAGAGCACATTAGAAACTCAGCATTTTTCTCTGTGTTGTAAGACTTATGCAGGCCACAAACAAAGGACTGGATGGGTTTATTTCACATTTTGTGGGTCAGTAGACACTCAGGTTACCCAAATATATGTTCAAAAACACTTTACAAGTGGATTTTTCATAAAATTTCCCTTTTAAATGAAGTTTTGTTATCTCACAGGAAGTTACAAAAGTAAAGTGTGACTGTTAAATAAAGTAACTGTAAAGATGTGATGTGGATATTTCTTTTAACAAGAAAAAAAATATTGGTAAATTCTAGTTGCAACAAATTCCAGACTTGAGCTTCATAAATGTTGTGTTTGATAATCACAGAGCAGAGATTATTCATCATCTGCTTAATGTTTCATGAACCTCTTGATGCTCTGCTGCAGGAACGAAACAGTTTCATTCTTGTTCATGAAAGTCAATCACTTCCTGACACAGCTGGTTGATGTAGTTTTTAACAAACTTTACCCAAATGTAGAAGTCGGGGACTTTTTTCAGGGTCGTATTAAAGCTGTGTGAGTGAGTGTTTCCAGCAGCAGGACAGATTTTAATGAGTTTCATGAGATCACAGTGTGTCCACTTTAATGAAGTAACGTGTCACTGATGTGCTCACTGTTTTTAAAGTTCAGTCTTTGTTCGGTTTATAAAAATATCCTTCGACTCAGCGATCATTTCCTGTTTCATTTCCTCCTCAGATCGTCATCGTTCAGTTCGGAGGGAAGCCGTTCTCCTGCACGGCTCTGACCATCGACCAGTGGCTGTGGTGCGTGTTCATCGGCGTAGGAGAGCTGCTGTGGGGACAGGTGAGACCAGAACCAGAACTCTGTGTGTGTGTGTGTGTGTGTGTGTGTGTGTGTGTGTGTGTGTGTGTGTGTGTGTGTGTGTGTGTGTGTGTGTGTGTGTGTGTGTGTGTGTGTGTGTGTGTGTGTGTGTGTGTGTGTGTGTGTGTGTGGGGTTCTGAACAAACAGAAAGTGAGCAAAGTGAGGATGAGGACGATGAAGAGGTGGGAAAGTAGTTGTTAGGTTTGTGGATGAGAAAAACTGTCGTCTGTCACACTCTGCTGCTGCAGCGTTGCCATCACTACAATCGCCATGGTAATGAGCTCTGCAGCGCGACTCCTGTTTACACACACACATAAAACACACACGCACACACACATACACACGCACACAAACATAAATGAAATGCAACCAAACAGTCACATGCATGATTCTGCTCAACACGCACACAGACACATGAACGCCATAAAAAATCTATTTCATGCGCATTCCTATACACACACATACAAATACACACTCACACACACACCAAACATACACTAACACACACACACACAAATAAAGTTGAGTGATGAGCAGCGTTGTGGGTTCAGGTTGAGGACAGTCACAGAGAACAGACAGACTCTGACAGAAACAGGCTAATCTCAGGTCTGTTTAGCTTTGTGTTGTTTTTATTTTTTCAAACAGAGACGAAGTGACAGATGTATAAAAATCTGAAGAGCAGCAGGAGGCTCAGTGCGTCACCGTGCTCTGATTTACACCAGGAGAATCAACAACACATCTAATCTGGTTTTCTTTATTAAGAATATAAAGTAGGTTATCAGTATAATAATAGTTGTTATACAAACAGAGACTTCATGATGAAAACACAATCTAATCTCCTCCTCACTACTCACACAGAAAACGTTTAAACAGGTGATCTAATACGAGAATCCGAAAAGAGGACAGAGAGGCCATTAATCAGAACGAAGAAGGAGAAGAGGGGAAACGTAATGATGTTGACAAGATGCAGAGCTCAGTGAACAAACAAGTGTGTGTTTTCAGACATGAAAACCAGACAAGCAGAGTCCTGCACACCGGCTATCAACAATTTCAACAAGGATTTCATCAGAGCAAAAACTAGGTCTAGTAGTGTCAAAACATTGACAGACTATAAGAATATTTTTGCAAGTGAGACAGCGTGAAAGCGTTTGAGTCATCCCTCGCCCACACACCTGTCATGTGAAAAAGATGTGCAAAGTGTTTTTTAGGACGAAAAAAAATACAAAATTTTTGCGTTTTTTGCAGGAAAACAGCTCAACTTCAATGAGAATTTGGCAAACTTCCCTGATATTCAAAGGTTACATATGATGTAAAATACACTTTCCCTTGCTTTTCTAACACCCTAGTCCGTCTTCGTACTTCCCAATGATGAGAAAACTTCATCCTTTCCGTCTTTTGCCTGCTCCACTTTTTAGAAAATGTGTGCTCAAACAGGCCGTTTGGAGATTTTCCCTTCATGATGTCACAAAGGGTCAGTAACCCCTCCCCCAGGTGGGTGACACTCCCACAGCTAGGTGTTTGTTCTGCCCTCTGAGTCTGCCTTCTCACCTTAAACAATAGGACATGGAACGAGAAAGTTCGAGCCAGCTGAGGCAAAGATAAAATGTTAACTGAAATGAAAAGATGTTAAATCCTCTCCAGGATCACCAGAGTCTTATAAACTCAATTCCTCCAGTTAGAAAAATGTTTTCTATAGTGAAGAATTTTTCCTCTGCCAGCCACCAAATCATACAACTGTTGTCATGGTAACCTGACCGATAAAACAATCTCAGTGATTTTTCGACAATTTATAATCTTAATTTTTCCGTCGTTGTCAGCTGATCTCGGCCATCCCCACGCACCACCTGAAGTTCCTGATGGAGGCGGGTCACGGCACCACGAAGGAGGAGATCCACGAGGAGGAGCTGACGGAGGGCGCCGACGAGATCGACCACGCCGAGATGGAGCTGAGGAGAGGCCAGATCCTGTGGTTCAGAGGTCTGAACCGCATCCAGACGCAGGTACGGGCGTAGCTCCGCAGACTTTATGCTCATTTTAAACTTTATTCTTTGTTTGAAGGATTTTTCTGATATTCAGGCTCCTGAGGTCGAGATGATGATTTCAAACATCTGTTCTTCGTCTGAGCTGCAGGAACATGATTATCTTTAGTGATTCAGCTGGCAGAGGAGATCACTTCTTTATTTTTATAATTATTGTTTTTGTTTGCATTGCAGGTGAATAATTGTTTTAACCGTTGGAAGCTTTTCAGCTTGGGTCAGCTTTTTCGTCTGCAGAACAAACTTTAAATCAAACTCCGCTGCGCTCCCCCTCCTCGCCTCAACTCCCCCAAAAATCAAACAAACATGAGATGAACCAACGGACGGAAAGAGAGCGGAGAGCAGAGCCAAACTGTCACAGCAGAAATGTTTCAGTAAAACAAATAGGAGGAGACATGAACACTAAAAAAAAACATTTCTGACAGGTTGTTAGAGCTGCAGTGGATGTTTGTCTAATCAAATACATGCAGGAGGAAGCAGAGTTCAGATATTAGACTTTAAATTAAACAATCAGACTTTTCATACAACAACAAATGTTACACTAAGTGCTTTACATAAACAGAGAATCACTAGAAACAGTTTGAGCAGCAGCAGCCCTCCAGACCATCCATTCACACACACAGTTATCAACCTTTTTGTTTTTTAAAGGTTTATTTTTGATCTTTTTATTTTAGAGATAGGACAGTGGATAGTCTCAGAAATCGTGGGGGAGAGAGACAGAGAGAGCGGGGAATGATGTGGGGGAAAGGAGCCCAAGTCAGATTCAAACCTGGGGCCGCCGCCCGCTTGGAGGACAATAACCACTTACCTTTAACCTAACCACTAGGCTTCCGGCGCCCCCCCCCAGTAGTCCTTTCAGCACCTTTTTTTCAACACATAAAATGCGCCCAGAACACTTTCTGGTTCTGCTTTACGTGGACGTTGAAGAATTCAAGACAATAAACACAGACAGTATAATTCCTCCACCAGGGGGCTCTCAATCAAAACAATAACAAAAGATGATGTCGAGTCCAGCTGGGAATCATGGGAGTGATTCTCTCTTCTCCCTCCCTCCCCCCCTGCTGAAAACCAACTCTGAGTTGACCGTAGTCAAGACCATCGGGCGAAACCGACCTGAGGAAGAGAATATGTTTACCGACGATGTATCTGAGTATAATTCACATGACGTCTTTATCACAGCTCCTCATACAGCAACAGTACGACAGCTTTCAGTAGCAGCTCACACTTCCTTATGCAGCGGTCTTTGACGTAACATCTGGTGTTTCCACGGTAACAATAAACATGACATTGTGTCTGTCATGGCGGCTGCCTTGACGACACGTCCAGTTACAACTACAAAATTACGGATAATGTTGGAAATATTTGAGGTAATGTAAGCACTCAGCAAAAGATTATATATAACATAGGTTTAGTACATTTATAGTTAATTTAGATATTTGATATTTTCATACAATTCTACGTACTATACCTTTAAATCTGAGTGACCAAAGATACTCAAATAAGTACTTACCGTACAGGGGTGTACAGTGTTAGAAGTTACACACAACAAAGAGGGGAACAACACGTCTCTTACTTTAATATTTAAATACCTTCTCTCAAGTCAAAGTCAGAAGTGTTTGATCAGCTGAGGAGGGCGAGCGCTCTGCTTCAGATACCTGAAGAGATGCAGTGTGGCCCCGAGGTAAAGAGGAGTAGATCCCGACCGCAGGAAATATGGATGATTTATTTAGATGCTCTTTGCTGGGGGATTAAATCAAGTTAGATTTTTATTTCTGCAGTGTAGTTTTCACTTTGACTTTCAGCAGCACAACCCCCCTGTGGAGCAGCACAACACTGAAGCCCCTCACAGCAAAAGAAAACACGAGGGTTATGAATATCTCAGAGAGGTGATAAAATATGAAATGTAAAATATGTTGGAACAGCCTGTCAGCAAAGTAGAAGCTCCGCGTTTTAGGTGCAACAATGAGAGAAATGAAGTCAGGGATGTCTCAGATCTGAAAGAGAAAAATGATGGTTTGGAGCTTCTTATCGTCTCGTTTTGACTCGAACCGTCCTCCATGTTCAACATTTTCAGTTTGTGTTGAAGACGAATGAAACCTCAGCAGAGTGTGTGGACGTTAACAGGAGCTTTTTAACACACACACAAACACCCAGGAGTTAATTTCACACTCTGCTGCAGAGCGACAGTACAGAACGACTTTATTAAAAGCCGAAAGTAAAGGCGGCAAACAGCGTAAGACAAAAAAGCACTTTGGATATTTTTACACTTCAGTCAGTCAGTCATTCAGTGTTGGTGGCAAACAGCAGCACCTTCACAGCACCGCCTTCCCCTGTGACTCATCGCACAGTCTGGGACTTAATACTGTGTGTGTGTGTGTGTGTGTGTGTGTGTGTGTGTTATCCTCCTCCTACAGCATAGATCAGCTCTCACTGAGCGTTAGCATGTCCACAGGCAGTCCTCATTCAGTCCCTATGGGGTTCATTAGCCTCGATGCTAACACCCACCTACAGTAACAACAGCCGAGGCTCTGCTCTCCCACACACACACACACACACACACACACACACACACACACACACACACACAGAGGTCAGGTCTTTCCTCTCAGCAGTACACTAACTTGTTGTTATTTTTCCTGGAGGGTAAAATCTTCTGAATTATTGATAACTTCTATCTGTCGCCTGCTGAGTCTCCGTTTGACCTCTGCCGAAGCTTCCTCAGAAACCTTTCACTCTCTGAAAAGTCTGAAAAGTAAAGACTGAATAATATTGTTCCAAATATTTGTCCTTTCCAAAAAAAAAAACAACCATAACAAAATATTCCTGAAATCAAACTTCACCTTTATGCTCCATAAATCCGATTAACGTCTCATTTAACGCGGCTGTTTTCGTATCAAACAGGAGCGTTCTTGTTATCAGCGGCAGCAGGCGTCAGCTGTTCTTGAGCTCAAAGCACTTAAAACTGGGAACGCAAGAAACTGGATTTTACTGAAATATGCTGATATCCCTCAAATTTGATAAACAACTGTATGAAATGAAGCCGCATTTTGGATACATGAAGTGAAGAGGTCTGTCAGAGACGAGGTTGAAGTGATGTTCTGTTCTCTGCTGAGGGGTCGCGTCACCCTGTACCAATGCAGAAGCCTACATACTGTATGTAGCCTGACATGCACCTCCTCAAAGACGTAACTATGCATCAAAACAAAGCAGACTGCGAGCCCTGTGATTGGTCCGCTGGATAGCATCTTATTTCCACTTCCTGAATCGCCGCCATGTTCAAAACATCTGCAGAAGGAAGAACGCTACAACGCTTTCTGTCATCTCCAACGCCAACATTTCTGTCACCATTGTTTCCTGCACACAGAGACGATATAACCAGATTGCTAATTGCAATGCCAATTAGCATTCTTAGGCAGAGTGACGCAGATACAACAACAAGTATGTTGTGCTCATGATTTGACGCAGAAGTATAAAGCAGGCTGTAGTTCAAATGTCTATAAGAACATCTGCAGATTAGGTTGATGTGATTCGATCAGGAGCTCCTGAAGAGACGAGCAGGTGCAGAGTTTGATTGATTCAAGGTAGGAACTCTAAATCACAGAGTGCCAAAAAAGAATCCTCAGCAGGTCTTCATGAAGCTGCCGAACGTGGTGAAAGAAGGAACAGAAATAAAGCTCTCGTCCGCTTCTGTCTCTTCAGCCATCCGACGCGCTGCTCAGCAAAGAGGATGCTCTCTCCTCCCTTGTCATGTCTGTGTATCTGAATATCAGTCTGTCGCCCTCTTGGGATAGGGGGTGGTGGAGGGGAGGCGGGGGGAGGGTGGGCTCTGAAAAAGGCTGCAAGCTAATTAGGTTCTTATCTCTCCACGCTCCTCTTCCTGTCCTCCTCCTCTCTAATCCTGGTGGGCAGCGTTGTGCCGCTCAACGCCTCGCCAGTCAAACACAGTGGGGGAATAATTGGTACAAGCAGCACCTCGCTGACGAAACTTTATCAGTCGCTCCGAGAGACACATTCTCTCCTCTCCCTCCTCTATGAGAGCTTTCAGCCCGATTCAAAAGCTCTTTATTCATCACTCTCTCTCTCTCTCTCTCTCTCTCTCTCCTCCTGCACTCCGTTCTCTCAGAGCTGCTTCTGGACGCTTGTGTCTTTCACTCTGAACTAAATGACAGCTTTCACTTTCTTTAAGCATTTTCCTCTCTCTCTCTCTCTCTCTCTCTCTCTCTCTCTCTCTCTCTCTCTCTCTCTCTCTCTCTCTCTCTATATATATATATTGTCTACTTCCTGTCTGTTTTCTGTCTATCAACATGATGATGTGTGTTTCTGCTGCAGAATGGATCAATACTGTTTACCTCATCCTATTCAAAGACGTGTCATCTTCGTCCTGAAACACTCAGCTCAAGCACTTTCTAAACATTATTTATGAAATCAAAGGTTAAAGATCATCTCCATCTTGTATAAACCCCTGATGTGAGTTTGGATGTATCTGGAGAAACACATGATAATGAAGGCGATCACTGCAAAAACTCAAATCTACGGTAGCCCAAAGTGGACATACACCCTTAATTTATTTATTTATTTATTTTTTAACTCAGTCTCTCCATGACGAGTACACATTTGTTGTTTTCACAACTTCTTTATCTCGAGGAAGTGACCCAAATGACGATGTTATCCTCAGAAAACAAACTTCAGTTTTCTGGAGATAAGGAGATAAACAAGTCGAGACCTCGAGAAAACAACCGAAACATGAGTAGTAAGAGTGAGTAAAATAAAATATATGGATTCATGTTGTCTTAGGGCTTCTTTAACATCCACCTTTTAATTCCAGATAAACACCTAATTCAAGATTTTACGAACTAAAAATGAGGCCTGAATTGATGGTGATTTGTACTAATGGCTGTCAATGCATTCATCAATAATAACTTGTTAGGATTGTTTAAATTAGAATAAACAAGTCAATCTGAACTGCTCAGGTGAATGGAGCTTATATGAAGTGTAATGAGATATGTTTGTTTAGCAATTAGACAAATACACTAGTTAGGATTTGATATTTTACAGTGTAAATGTTGCAGATAATATAGTATTTAGACAGGTCTCAATGATACGTGTCACATTATTTAAAAATAAATAAATCAAAGATAACAAGCCGCCACCTCTTCTGTAGACGTGCTCAGATCAGAAATGTTAGATGAAACATACAGAGGCTCAGTGACTGTCGTCTTTGGACACCTGAAACCTTGTTAATGACCAACAAACAATCGATTGACCTTAAAAGAAACAGTTTAAAAGAGACACTGCTGAGGGAAACATGGTCGTCATACTCCTATTCTTTTTTTATGTAAGAACAATCCGGTAGATTCCCGACACACCTCTGTTCTGTTTCATCTCTTAAAGAGAAGTAAATGTTAACTCTCAGAGATAGACACATCCCAGCTGCTGCTCCCTCTCTCTCTCTCTCTCTCTCTCTCTCCCTCTCTCTCTCTCTCTCTCCCTCTTCTGTCTGTCGGGTTTGTGCTTCACTTGAACTGTGAAAGAACTGATCTTCAAAATCCAAGCTGTCTAACTTTACCACTTAACTCTCTTTAACCTCTCCATAGGTGTTTCCCTGTCCTGTCTCCTTGCTCTGTCTCTGTGCTCTCTAACACTGTGGCTGTCCTTCCTTCAGATGGATGTGGTCTATACCTTCCAGACGGGCCAGGCGGCGGTGCCCGGTGCCCTGCGCCGCCAGCCGTCTGTCGTCAGCCAGCACAATGACGCCTCTGCCGGCAAAACTCTTTCTAGCCCCACCCACGTAGGGCTTAGCTCCTCCTCCTCTCTCACCAACTCGGCTGGGGCTCTGCCCCCTGCTGCTGCTGCTGCTTCCTCCTCCACTGCAGGCAGTGAGTCGGTGACGCCTCACCCGGCTGGACTCTCTTTGTTTCTCTGTTTGAAATGCATGAAACTCTGAACTCTGCATGACTCACCAACACTAAAAACCTTCGTACTGTTTCTGTCATCAGCAGACGTCTGCACATCTGAAAAATCTGAGGGATTCTCTCACCTTTCATTTTCAATAACTGGCCAGTACAGCATCATACTAACTAAAATAAGCTGAGACAAAAGTTTCCAAGTTCAAAGCTGTACATTTAGTTATTAAGGTTTATCAAATTTTGTTTGGCAAGTGCTCAAACCTTTCCTTGGAAATCTCTAAATATGAAGCAGTAACAAAATGAAATGCTCAGTTTTTTATTAAAGTTATTAATAAGAATTATCACACCATAATTAGAACTACAGATATTTGATTAGAAGATACAAAAGTGCTTCAAATATTGGATGTTTAAAGATACAGTTTTAAGTTTGGTTAGCCTAGATTAGCGTAAAGAACGCAGGAGGAAACAGCTAACCTTGCTCCATCAGAAAAAAACCCATTATGGAGCCTTTTTATTGACACAAAATAAGTTTACTAAATATTTCCAAAGCTGAAACGTAAAAACCTAGCTGCTTAATATGAAATAAAGTTTGAGCTGTAAGATTTTCATCTTCAGAAAAGACGTGCAGACTTAAAGCAGTGTGTCATACTCAGATCAGGGAAGTCAGACAGTAAGGAGGTTTAAGAGACAGGCTAGCATATTGTTAGTTTATGTGCTTTGATTTTAAAATTAGGAAAATAAAGAAAATAAAAATCAGCTTCATGTGCAGACAACGTGACCTTCCTCTGCTGCAGCTTTTCCTCCATCCTTTCTCTCCTTGCTTTAATACCTTTCATCATTTCCATCCGGCCCGCTGCTGCTGCTTCCCCTCCTGCATGTTGTGGAGATTTAAACTCATAACGCGCATCTATTAACCCTTGTGTGACTTGCTGCCTGACGAGTCGATGACAGATCACAACTGTGCACCGATCATGAGAGAAAGAAGCTGCAGATCGTTTCTGATTCGTGACTTGGGGAAGGGGAGAAAAAAAGGGGGATAAAAATCCCTGTTCTAGTTTCTTTGTTGTTTTTTTTCTCTTCCTTTTTCTCTGAGGCGACAGCCTGACAGCCTGGGCAGCAAGATAATTTTATGGGTTAATCCTGTGCAGGGTTAAATCTGTCAGGCTCAGCAAGTCTCTCATGGTTTAAAAGCCAAGAGCTTTTTTAACTTGAGTGTGAGTGTGTGTGTGTGTGTGTGTGTGTGTGTTTGTAAGTGTGTGGTGGTAACATGTATGCTCTAAGCTGCAGTGCTCAGCCTGCAGCTCTCCTGTGCTTCAGTAATAGAGAGCTTTGAACTGCAGGGTTATTAATTATGATGAAGAGTGTCTGCTGGTGCGTATAAATCAGTGTGATCAGCTGCAGCCTCTGTGGATTCATGACAGAAGAAATTACTTAAGGCACAGAGAAGAGAGCAGCTAGAGGACAATATGAGTCCGCTCTGAATGTGATTATAAATACTTAAGAGTGTGCATGTGTTTGTTGTTTTCCCCAGTGTGTGTGTGTGTGTGTGTGTGTGTGTGTGTGTGTGTGTGTGTGTGTGTGTGTGTGTGTGTGTGTGTGTGTGTGTGTGTGTGTGTGTGTGTGTGTGTGTGTGTGTGTGTGTGTGTGTGTGTGTGTGTGTGTGTGTGTGTGTGTGTGTGTGTGTGTGTGTGTGTGTGTGTGTGTGTGTGTGCTGTGCATGCATTGTTTACTGGGGCAGCGTATCGTTTGAACATTTTCTATCTCGCTGCCAACACCATGAAGGATGAATTAACGGTTTGTAAAAGCGTGAGGCAGAATCCCAGAGCCTCTACAGGTCACATTTTCCATGCATGTCAAGTGGTTGTTTTGTTATTTATACAATTTTATAAATCAAGATGATGAATCAAGACAAGCTGTCCACAAATATTTAAAGCTTTCTGACTTTTAAAGGAAGAATGTGCAACATTTTAAATATATCAGAAATGAAGTATATCCTCTGAGTCATGACTTTCTACAATGAGTGAGAAGCTCGAGTCCTGCTGGCTGTGTTGTTGTCAGAGCCGTGTTTACATGGATGGGACGGCCGGCTCCTCCCCTTGTGTATAAAAGCTGTTTTAGTCAAGGACTAGAGAAAATAGCAGTAACATGCTCACTGATTATTTGAACGTCACGTCAGCGTTTTAGCCTTTGGGTGTCAATTTACATGCAATGTGAAGCTAACTAAAGAGCGCTAACATTAGCAGGCTAACATAGCGATGCAGACTAACAGGCGATTGCTGCTCAAGCAAAGGACAATTTTGTCCGTCGCTTCGATTTGACTCCTTTGTGCGAACGCAAGAAAAGAGGATTGGAGGAGGGCGGAGGTGTGGCCAAACAGCCGTTTGTTTTGGTTTCCTGCTGGTGTTCAAGGGCAACATCTACTGGATCAAAAAGTCGAACATTCTTCCTTTAAGGTTTCTGAAACCCCTTATGGTCTAAACCACTAAAAGCCTTCAGGTTCAGGACATGGCCTCAGTGTTTGGGTGATTGTTTGTGGGGACACAGACTTCCTGCAGAGGATTGTCTACATATGGTTTTTAGTTTTAAATATTAAAAATATGCCGGGCGGGTGATACGTCATTTGTTCTGCCACAGTCCATCCCAGACAGTCGCTCCGTCTGTGTTGACACAGCCCAAGGCTGTCCTGGAAACCCCCGCAGTGGTGCTGTGGTGATGAAATCCACCCACAGTCTTTACACCTTAACCCTTCACCAGCAGTAACGAGATGCTTCAGACATATTAGTTTATGATTTTTCACATGTTGCTCAATTTGACAGAGATATGCTTTTAATTATAGAGCAAACAGAGGTTTTGTTTTTGTCTTCACAGTTTGTGAAAGTCAGTTAACTAGTTCAACATTTCAGTGGCCCTGCTGGTCAGAGCCAGGTCCATAAAGAATCTGTTTCCCCGTTTGTTGTGCAATAAATTGATGCCCTGAACTGAAACCCATTCATTACACTTTGGGATGAACTTGAACGCTGACTGGAAGCCAAAACTTATGTCCCAACATCAGTTTGATGACCTCAGTAATGCTTTTGAGAACAACTCTCGGCAGCTGGGATCCAAAGTGTTGGTAGAACTGAATCAAGAAGAGTGGAGGCTGGTAAAATAATTCTAGTCGATTAAGGTTTTTCATTTGGCTTCCTCATAAAGGTTAAAGGTCAGCTGTTCACAAACTTTGGACACATCGGTGTAGTATTTGAATATTAAAATGAAGGATATGAAAGTAGATCAGTGTATCTGAGTCTTACAGTTAAGAATAGTGTGTGTGAGTGTGAAACTTAGTCACTTTCAGGGTCATACGTCAAACTTATGACCTGTTTTTTGGGGACTCTATCCCTGGTAGGCAAAAATGCTTATTGTTGGGGTCCATTTGAAAGGGATTGATTTGATTCATATTCAGGTAAGATTTAGGTTTAGGGAGCATTGGTTATCCTTTAAGTGACCCCGCATAAAATGAAAGTCAGTCTATGAAATAGCCCTTAAGTGACTGAACATGTTTGTTTGCATGGATGCGACGTCCCTCCATATTCAGTTGCCTGCTTGTAGATTTTTGTTGCAGTTTATCGTCATGCATTGCAATATCATTTTTATGAACGCTTGTGTTGATATTTTGTAGACTTCAGTTCTCCCACTGTTTCCTCATCAAGCCGACCCGCATCACTTGTTGTCGTTGTTGTGTTTTGTGGTTTTGCACCTCCTTGCCCGGATTCAGACACACGTCCACCATGTGTCCCATCAGCCCCCGCTGCCAGTTTGACATCACATTTTCATAATTGGATTCTGTATCTGTCCCTCTCCCAGTCGTCTGATGTTTCTTTTCTGCTCTTGTTTCAGATTAAGGTGGTGAACGCTTTCCGTAGCTCCTTGTACCCGGCGAGCCCAGAGTCCCGTAGCTCCATCCACAGCTTCATGGCCCATCCCGAGTTCGTCCCGCTGTCCGAGGAGGAGGCTCGCATCCCCCCCATCGAGGAGACCGGAGACGAGATCGAACCCCTACCAAGCCCCTCCTCCGGGGCGGGAGGAGGAGGAGAGCCGCCGAGCGCCTTCCCCTGCAGACGCGAGTTATCAATCTGAGCTCCTCTCTCCTCTTCCTCCTCCCTTCAGCATCATCTGTCATCCCGCCAACCGAACTGTTGCACCAAGGAGGGAAGTCATCACTCTGCTCATCCCCTCATCCTGCACGTGCACACATGCTTCACATTGCCCCCACCCCCCAACCCCTTACCCCCCAGTCATCGCTGCCACATTGTGTCTTGCATACTGACTGTGGCGTTGTTCAACCTGTAAGTTTGTCCCTCCACCACCACTATACATGTATCAGCAGAGGGGTGGAGTCCAGAGTCTCCACTGTGGAAGGCCTGTCCTGGTCCATTCATGTTTTGTTTTTTTTAACTTGATGATCCTTTTAAAAAAAAAAAGTTTTAAAACTATGTCAGTTTCAATCTTTTTTGCGGGACTCTCAGCAGCATGTCGTGTTCTGTACTCGCTTTCATTCCTGCGTAACGCTTCTCAAAAACGGCACCGAACTTTTCAAAGAGTGCAGTGATTCTCATGTACATACGCTTTTGCTCTTCTACACAGCTAACGGCCGGGGTTTGGTGATCAGAACATTTTCAAGGCAAATGCAAAAATGTAATTTTTATTTTTTTTTTGTCTTTTTTTTTTAACCTCCTCCAATCATTGATTCAAACTCCTGAGAATGTCTTGTGAGTGTGACACTACAGTCTGCAAGGTTCAACTGTTAAAATAATGTTCTTCCCTTTATCGTGTCTGTATGTGTCACTTTTTCTTTAGCTGCTGTGTTGCATGTGGAAGGACAGAATGTTAACTGCACATAAATATATCTAACATTGGGGCGTCAAGAGAGGGCTCGCTCTCTGCTCATCTCACCTTAGTTGGGGGTTTTGGTTCTCTCTGCCCCTCCCCACAGTGTTGATAGGAAACTGGAGTGTGCTTCATGTTTCCCCCTCTTATAGAGTGCATGTTATGTTTCGTTCGTGTTGAGTCGCATGATAACATTGGAATGAATATTTGGGATTCTGTTTAGACAACCATATGTTATGTTAGTTAGTCTGCAGCAGCTTCTGTTCAGAGCTCGGTCAACTTCCTGAATGTGGGACTGAACTTCCTGTTCGCACAACAGGACAATATCAGACTTGTCAATAGACAAATCATGTTGAGAAAAACTGAAGAAAAGTTTAGGGTTTGCATTAGGCTTGCTACGGTGGTTGGTGCTACCTGTGTTGCACGTAGTTCGGGCATACTCACATTACATGACCTTTTTTATAGAGCATAATCCAAGCTTGGTCATACGGTTGAAGATAATTTAAAACTAAGAGTGTCTCACCATATAGCAGCAGATTTTAAAGATATTTCATATTTCACTTGAAGAGAAAGGAGAGGTGACAATGTTGGAAGAGCTTGTGTTAGCGATCCCTGAACTGGCATTCCTAACCGGTTTGCCGTCTACAGATATCGTTGATAGAAATAACAAAATATCTGGTTTAATCGTTAACACTGTCCGTCTCAAGTGATTAGGTGGCATCCCCAATCAATGTACGAGGAAGTGTACCACTCAAAGGCCCAGTTGACTTGCCTACAACCAATGCTTTCCTTAGTTTAGTTTAATGGTTCCCTCTAGGCAAGGAGCCAATCTCAGCTCCCATGGGGCGAAAATTGGGTTCTCCCAATTGGGCCATTGATGCCTCTCTTGCAGTTGTCACAGCGGAGGTAGTACTGATAAAATGAGGCCACAATAGATACTTGATTGGCCTGATTCCTGAAAAGAAAGGATGCAGACTCCCTTGAAACTATCACACCATCACCCCCCGCCTGGACCAGCCTGATGTTGATGACAACAGATTGGTTGGTTTCATGCAAAATATGGGATTAACAATTATTGTGCATCAAGGACTCCATTGCCAACTTCCTTGCATTCTTTGCTTCTCTTTCCTGTAAACCAATCAAAAATGTAAAAGACCACATCTGACCATGACACTGTGAGGTGAGACCCCCATCGCTAATCACTGCCCCGCTGTAATGACATTGCAGTTGACCAAATTTACATCCAGTGGACCCTCACAGCTACAAAGAAAGATCCAGTTCTTGTTTACTGTGTCAGAGTCAATGAAAAAACAGTACTGCCAAAGGATGAAAAGTAGTCATTTTCTTTTCATTTTCTTAGTTTCAGTGGCGTCAGATTAATAAAGGTAGCCCCCACTTTCCTCCCCAGAAACATCCCAAAACTCTTCCTAGTTGACCCTGATATGTATATAGTATATAGTACGACCAGATAGTATATAATCTCTGCAGCGAGATAAATCCAGAATGAAGCAACAACAAGTCATCTGGATCAGAAAGTTAACCACTTCAACTATCTCTTTTGTTTTAGGTTTCATCAACCACAGCTAATCCAATCATCTTCGTGCCATATGCGGCTTTCAGTTGACTTCATATGTTATGATATTGCCTCTAAAACTAGACTTCTGTTCATCCAAATTGGAGCTTTAAAATGATATAACTATTGACAAGTCTGTTCTGGGTCACAATGGAAGATCTCCAGTTCAAGAAACAGGGAGTTAAAGGATCTCTGAACCGTTTCTGGACCGTCTCTCTGTGTTTAAGACAAATCTTAGTACCAACTCTGAAGTTTTTGTTCCTATATTTGTCAAGAGTTTCAGGAACATAAACTCAATCAGTGACATTGCACAGCTGGCAGAGGAGAAGGTGTTCAATCATCATCCCTCTCCGCTCTGCTGTGATTGATTAACAGTCGTCAGTGTGGTGGCCACGCTGAGGTTTATGGGAGACTGATGATGTCACCAGTCGGCCTGTAGAGTAAAACCCGCTGTGTGTCAGTGCTGCCGCTCAGTACTTCTTGCCTGCCGTTGTCCACAGATTACTGTCTTAAAAGAAGAAGGAATCATCTACCAGTCAGAGGCAGTGATGAGTCTAATCCCCTCTTAGTCCAACTAGTAACCATCAAGCTATCTTTGAACTAGGACACGTTATTGAAGTAATGTGCTACTACTGCCATATTTCCAACTTTCCTGTCACAACTAGGTTCTTCCTCTCCCCTCTGATGAGCTTTTTCTATGTAACTCAGAGCCATATTTTATAGGTTGTCTGTATTGTTTTTTATCTCATTGTTATCAAGGTTTCCTTTGGACTTTCCTAACCCCAACCCCAATCCTTCCCCCTCCTCCTCCCCTGGCCCTTTACTCCAAACACGACCAAAAAAGCAAGGAGAAAATCTTCAGTCGTCACTGCCGAACCAAGTTTCAAGGACCTCTACAATGTTTACATGAAAAGCAAGTGGGTGGCAGTTCGCCTGCGCTTCTCTCATCCGACCACTTCCCTTTCATTCCCTTGCTTTCCTGAATCTTAGAGTTACTATTTAACTAAATGGGGAATCTTTCTTGCATGGTTTTCATATAAAATTCAATGTTTTGCTCATTTTTTATAATTCTTCTGTATTTTTATATTAAGTACTTTTTAATATTTTGGAGATATATGAATATATATGTATAGGCTGAAAAGTTTGGTGACAGTACAGTACATGAATGAGATTAATCTAACGTGGACTCTGTCTTTTTACAGCTCTCTAAATATTTATGCCACGTGTGTCGTCACCTAATGTTAGGGCTCAGAAACCTGCAGTGACTTGTTTACTCCCTGTCGGCCATTCAATTGGAATCCCAACAATTTTATTCTCATCAGCCCCCCTTTAAATGAGTCTAATCACTTTATCTAAGATGTTGTGATACACTACAGCCTATGTGATTTTGCAGTTATCCAACTCCAGTAGAGTTCAGCCAATGCAACGTGAATACAGCTAACTGTATCAAACATTAAATGGGAGTGTATAATTATTTATCCAACCTCTGGGTATCTTTGTTTCTGTACTTTGAAGCTACTACGACTAATTTCTTTGAATGAGTGGAATGATTCTGTTTTCTAACTGACTGATGTCAGAGCTGGTAACTTTAAAGAGGATCGAAGCTGTGTCCCGACTCGGGCTCCGCCTCCTTTTGAAGCGGCGTGTCGGCCCAAGTCCAGAAAGATTTCTGATCCCTCAGATGGACCAAAAAACAGAAACCTTAGGACCAAAGCAGAGCCGGCCCGAGTCATAAAATAAACCCATGAGCTGCTTCAAGACCCCAAGCCAGGAAGTCAAAGATGAACCAGAATAAAATATTTTCCTGAACTGGGTGTGCATAAAGTCTGTAGGCTCTAACCCAAAAGACATTACGACCCAGTCAAACTGTCAAAGGATGATTGGATCTGCTCAATATGAATTCCCAATGGTGGTGTATTGAAGAAGATTCAACTAGGGATTGAGAAACAGATTCTAAATATTCTACATCTTTTTGAAACCACAAAAGTCGCCATGTACTGGCAATTAGAAACAATGCAGGCTTAAGGCACTTCCTCGTTGGTATCACCTTTAAAACCAGAGGATACGTCCATTTTTTTATACATTCAATGTCCTAACTGGACTGACCAATTTATAAATTTAGCTTGACTTGGGTCTTTGGTTGGATCTTGTTGCTAAAAAAAATTATAGGACCAATAAAAACTGCCAAATGAAACGTGGAGTCTTTTTGCAGAACCAATGTTAACTCTTTCTTTAGAATTTTTGTATTTAAAGCAACACGAACATTTTGCTTTGACTAATGCTATCTCTTCAAAAACAGTTTTGGAACTAATTTGCACACTGGGGGGTAAGGGGGCTTGGTGGGTTGTCTTGCCCAAACTCGAGGCTCTAAAAAAGCTCAGGTCGGCCCTGGATTGAAGGTTTTGTTTACCAAATTCTGGCCAAAGAAAGATCAGGAAGCCACATTTTTTAAGCTTTAGTCTTAATATTTAATTCGGTCATGAAATATCAAGAATTAAAGGAGGCGGAGCCAGGGACAGGACATGCAGATGTAGACGTCATTGCCATTTTGTACCAACTACAAACTTAAAAAAAAACACTTTTTGGGAAGAGAGCGGGACTGTTAAAGCGCTTGTGACATCACTTCCTCTTCCTGCAGGGTGTCTGTTTGTCTGTGAATGAGACGCACACCGTCAAAACGATGACGCTTTTCCTCTTTGTTTTGTTGAATGAATTGACAGAACACCTGTGCTCCTCCAGTCAGTACAATGTAAATATTGTCATATAAGTGAATGAAGTGTACCTGCTGTCTGTGTCCGTGATGGGAAACGGGAGAGGGGGCAATCAGCCAATCATCACCCAGCGAAGCTTTAAGAATGTTCTGCCAAAGTCGTTTTTTTTTTTTCTTCCTTCTGCACAAGTTTGATAGAAAATTTGCTGCCACATGCCCCCTTCCCTTCCTCCTGCTTGGATACGATTGTCCCTCTGCTCTTGCCATAGCCTCAGTGTGGCTGTGGTGGTCGTCTGTTGGACTGGTTGGACTGGTTGCCCTCAAATCTCATGCCAGGCGCACAGTACAGCCTCGCCATCAGAGACGCTCCAGGCCTGTTTGTGCTTCTGGTTTCATGAATAAAAAGTCCGGACGAGACTAAGCAGCGGACTGAAAATATTCACCTGCTTTTAGGTTCAATTTGTCTTGGAGTTTAAAGGAATCTCCGTTTGCCACAGTTTTCCAACCTGGACTTCTGCAAGGCGAAGGAACTCACTTCTGATCATTGCCATGTCATTGTTGCGTTTTGACTGCTTCCTCTTCAGAGCGCTGCCTTTTCTCGAAACAGCACCTGTCATTGGATTTTTAAGGAATTCTTTGGAGAACCTTGGCATCCACTTCAAGAATCATGATTTAAAAAAATGGTCCAAACGAACTGGAATAGTTGGAAAAGTCATAACCACTTAACATATATATCTTATATATTTATACACTATCTCTATATATTTATATCTAGTATGCATATATGTTTGTATATGTATATTAGATATAAGTACATCGACATATATATGGTTTGAACTTCATTGCAAAAAAAGACTGAAAAAGTTGTTTTCTGTAATTACTATGATACACAGTAATAGGCGTTGGTGTTATTTTTGTATAAACATAATATCATCTATGTGGCATGCATGACATATATACAAAAATTTGGTGGTTTAAAGCAATATGTCCAACCTGGTGCGATTGGTTCTGTCGTGTTCTGTGTAGCCTAAAGCCACTCTGTGCGAAAAAGAGATATAAAAAAAAAAAAAAAAAAAGAGAAACTGCATTTGGATAAAACTAACTGTTCAGTATACATGTTCAATGTTCTGTGTTCTGCATGTTTTAGTATGGAATGAAACATCCCCAAATTTCGACTTGTTTTTCCAAATGAATCTCAAATACACGCCCCAAACACGTGCAACATTACCAACACACAGACACACACATACACTCACACACTTACATGTATTTGCACTGTGAGGTGAAACACACTGAGGAAATTAAAACTGTGTGACGTCTGATGGATGGATTGATGAAAGATGAAGATTTTTACTTTTAATTTCTCATTTAGCCAGAAACAAAGCAAATCTGTCTGCTTGTCCAACTTTCTCTTTTTTTTTCATCCTCCTGTCCCGACCACACACAAGACAAACTAACGCTCAGATTTACAGATGTTTCCTGAACTCATCATCACCCACTCATCTGTGCAGTGAGAGGAGGAGGGAGACGATGACAGTTTACAGACCTGAAACATTCAGCATGTTGTTCAGGTAGGCTTCTGCTCTGCAGGTGTTGTCATCTCACCGATCATATCCATCGATCCCCACAATCTATTATCCCTCCCGTTTGTCTCCACTTGTTACTTTCAGGAGGAAACAAGGATAACAGTTTTTTTTTTCAATCTGCTCATGTCTGTGTTCATGCAAGAGCCCAACATGGACCGATTATTTTGGCTGATATGACACTTCAGTTAAGATATCATTATTCAGATTTATCAATTAACCAATTAATGATTGTATCTCTAGACTTGCAGTATAAGATGACATCTTCAAATCCCTCCATCTTGTCAAAGGCTCAATGACAGTCAGTTTAAAAAGCAGAATATTTTTTCCTTAATTACTAGCCGAACGCTAAATGTTACTAGCTTAACAATAATTTAACTAGCATGCAACAGTCATTTTAGCTACATTCAAATCCCACACGTGTTGGTCTTAATTTTTGATTAACAGATTTGCTTCATCAGAAAGTTACTTGGGGATTTCAACATTTAAAAAAAACACAAACTTAGTTTTAAAATCAGGCTCTTAAACACATCAATATTCGTCTTTGATTTAAAAGTTACAACACACCAAAAAAATTGAGCTAAAACCAAAATGTGTCCTTCCAAGTGTTCGATTTCCTCACCTGAATGTGAACACATTTAAATTATGAGAGTTTTAAGTTGTTGTAAGGTTGATTTTCTTTTGATGAAGGCCGGCTAACAGTTTCCCTTTGCTTCCAGTGTTTGTGCTAAGCTAGGCTACAACATGGCCTTGTAAGAGAATAACTTGACAGTCTGCAAAAGACGGAGAATAAGAGCATTTCATGAAGTTGGCAACTAGGCGTGTGCTAACATACAAAGTGTCTGTGATGGTGACGTAATTCACAGCATTAAAGTTGGCCATCATGTTGAAATTATTGTTGGACTTTTTGGTCGCATTAAAGTACGCTGTGTGTTCAGTCTTCTTCAAAATCAGGCTGCAGGATTTAAGACGTTACAAGGGCGCTAACCCAAGTCGCTCTCGATGCAACAGGAAAATAAAGTCTGTCCCTTTAATTATTTAGATATATGCTAATTTATCATTTAGGTTATTCACTTTTTTAGATTATCTACAGTTTGTGACAAAATGTAATCTATGGGGCTGTTCTCCAAAGACATGAATCTTTCCATTTTAATTATTGGAAAATGACCAAAGTCTTTTAAATCACATCACCTGGTGGTCGCACGATACGTGTTCCTTCAAGGTATCCTGCTAGAAAGCCTTTAGTTTTTCACCCAGGAGACAATCTTTTCTTGTCCCTTTGTACATCAAGTTTCAAGACTGATGTGTTTTATTCCAAACTATTTACTTTTTCTTAATTTTACCAAACTGCGACTATTTCATGATTTTAATTAACCAGATTTCCGTAGCTGATGGGAGATGTTTAGGCACCTAAACTTCTTGGTTATTTCTAGGAAAGATTATGGTTAGGATTAAAATAATAATGGGACCACGTTAACTTTTCCCAAAGGTCAAGAGATCTAGTACCATGTCTGTTTGACCACATGGACTAATTGTAAATTTAGCTGTCACAACAAAACAAGAATATTTGTAAACATGTTCAGGGATTTTAAGATTTAAGTTAAAACATGTAACCTTTCTGAGAACTACTGTTTGACTGGGTTTTGCCAAGTTATATGACTTTGGTTTTGGACAGTTAGTCCATACTGTTATCCAGACTTAAATATCTAAAAACCATTTTGAAATAGTTTGCCATGAAGAGGTTAAATTCTTTCTAGCGTTGGTGACCGTCAGACTCTGTTGATTATTTGTATGAAGACGTACCTTTAAACTAATGCCGTGCCCATCTGTGTCGAGTGTACCTTTGTGTTTAATGCTAAAAAAAAATGTTAGCATTTTAACTAAGATGGTAAACATGTTGTATCATCAAATGTTAGCATACTTACAGGCTGGTGAACATAGAAGCTAATGTTAGCATGTGTAGAAGCTAAATATGGACATTAACAAAGTAATTAGTTCATATTAGCAGGCTAAGTTAAGAAATAAAATGAGAAATTCTGGAGTTAGCATGTAATTAGCCCAAACTGAGATGATTAACATGACACTAGTCTAAACTAAGATTGTGAACATGGTAAATGAGCTAATTTTAGCATACTTACAGGTTACAATAAGCTGCTTAGCAGGTTAAATTAGCAATTTTTTAGCATGTAAACGGGTAAAGTTTAGATGTTAAACATGGTAAATTAGCAAATATTAAAATACTCTAATGCTAAGCTAAGAATGTTAATTGGCAAATGTTAGCATAGTAACAGCCTAAGATAAGATTAATGATGGAAGATAAGCAAATATGTTAGCATACCAATTAAAGTAACAGAGGAGTATTTCGCTAATGTGGCATGTTATCAGGTTAAATTAAGATGTTGGCGTGGTAAATTAACAAATTTATATTACCGTGACAACAGGCTACATTAAATTATTGAGATTGGTAAATGAGCTAATGCTTGCATGTTAACCTACGTAACTAGTTAATATGCTCTAGCCCTGCTCTGTCAGAGTCACAGAGCAGCTAGCTCGGCTGCCAGCTCTATGTCTTATTTACATCAAGATGACTTCCTTCACGTTGCTAACACACAGAGGACTCAGCGTCTTTGGTCCTGGTTGGCAGATTCTTAGCCTCAGGAGTGATTTGTTTGTGAGCCAAAATAAAACTTCCTGTTCTTCCCTGTGTGTGTGTGTGTGTTAACGTGTGTGTGCATATGTGTATGTGTGTGTGTGTGTGTTGGCTCTGTTGTGTTTCCTCAGTGTGTACGTCACCTTCCCCCTCGTTCTGTCAAACATCCTCCTCCTGTTTGCTTCAATCTATGCAACAGAATCCTCCAGTTTGACTCCAGAGGTTCATTTGGTTTCTCTCTTTCTCTCCCTCTCGCTCTCACTCTGTCTGCTCGTCTCCGTCTTTATCCTCCTTTTTTCTTTTTCAGTTCTTTCTACGAACAGAACCACGACACCTGTACATTGATGTATGTACGTGTGTGTGTTTGTACGACAGGACAGTGCACACACTCATGTTGTTTTCTTTACTCTTTTGTAAGATATGATCGTGTGGAATGCCTTTGGTCTTAGTGTCATGTCGTTTGAACTTAAGCTGAACAAAAGATGATAATCAAGCAACTGAGTAAAAGTTGTTACATGAGTATATATATATAATATATAAATATATATAAATATATACAAATCTATATACATAAAATAAAGCCATTGGAATTTGAAATAAATCAGTGTCAATTTGTGATTTTTAAGTTTTCTTTATGAAAATGTTTTCTCATTTCCTGATTTTTCTTTTTAGCATTTATAATCCAGACTATGAAACAAAGCCTGTTTGGACGTAGGCTAAACCGCTGAATTATATAAACCCCTAATAACATCTCTGCAAGAAGCCGGCGGAAGCTGTACTGAGCCCTGCAAGGTTCAGGTTAAAAAAAAAACAAGGAAAAGGATGTTATCAAATCTATTTCCATGTACTGTTTCCTTAACCTAGTGCACAGATTTGGAAACTGTCCCCACAGCTTTAGGTTGAGACAGAACCAGAAGACTACAACGACAAAACACATATATGAACTTTACTCACAACATTATAATTGTCTATGTGTAAAGTTTTGAGTTTTAGGACAATAAAGGAGACAATAGGGAATCAGTGGAGGTTGTTAATATTCAAATAAATTCGTCAGAATTTGGTAATATTGAAGTCATAGATTTACATTAAAATCTTATGAAACAAGAAAATAGAAAAAAGTATTACGCAACATACAACAGAACATGTTCTTGATGAAAGTTGTAAATCTGTCAAAATGATCACAGAAATATGAAAAATAATTCTGATTCACTCTGGTATAATGAAGTTACAAATGACCAAGAATGTTTCCAAAGATTAAAGTCACACATCAGAAACAGAATACTTCCGTGAAATTATAAATATAATAAATCAGAAATCCGATGAAGACATAGTCACAATTTAAAAGCCTTTTTTTACTCAGGGACTGAATGCAACCTTGAGCTTATTTTCTTGGAGATGTAAAGTTCATTTCTCAAAATAGATCTCTCTGCATTTATTTATTTTTTCTACCTACAATGGCCATAAAACATAAAGCCCAAAAAACTACATTCAACAGCTTTTTTGGTAAATGGTAAATGGACTTGAGCTTGTATCGTTCTTTTCTAGTTTTTTGACCACTGAAAGGGCTTTTCCACTGCAGGTCACACCTACACAGTCACACACTGATGGTAGAGTCTGCTATGTAAAGTGACCATCAGAAGTAACTAATCCCATTCATACACATTCACACGCCGACGACGAAGCAGCGGGAGCAACTTGAGGTCATTAATGATCATCAGTCGTCGACTTTACTGTCTCTTTAACGCATGTCATAAATCACTGACTCAAAAGGTAAAAAGACAGTGAGCGGATTTGAACATCAGAGAGCTCATGTGCAGGATTAAAATCCCTCAAATCACATTTATACTGTGGACATTTTAGATCGCTTCGTTACCATAGAAACAGCTTTTACCTCCACGTGTTAAAAGGAGAAATAATTTTCCTGCGGTCTGCTGTCAAAT